CATCTTTTGAATCCACATCAAGACCACGTGACATTATTGTTTCGATGATGGCGACATTACCACCTTGGGAAGCAGCGTGCAGTAAATTTCTTCCAAACCGTGCTTTAACAAAGGGATCAGCTCCCTTGTCTAACAGATAGTTTACCGCCTCAACCTTGCCATTCACTACTGCGAATATCAAGGGTGTGTTGCCGTTATCATCTTTTGAATCCACATGAACACCACGTGACATTATTGTCTCGATGAGGGCGACATTACCACCATGGGAAGCGGCGTGCAGTGAATTTCTTCCAAACTGTCCTTTCACAAAGGGATCAGCTCCCTTGTCTAACAGATAATTTACCGCCTCAACCTTATCACTCAGTGCAGCCAATATCAAAGGTGTGTCGCCGTTCCCATCTTTTGAATCCACATCAAGACCACGTGACATTATTGTTTCGATGATGGCGACATTACCACCTTGGGAAGCAGCGTGCAGTAAATTTCTTCCAAACCGTGCTTTAACAAAGGGATCAGCTCCCTTGTCTAACAGATAGTTTACCGCCTCAACCTTGCCATTCGCTACTGCGAATATCAAGGGTGTGTTGCCGTTATCATCTTTTGAATCCACAAGAACACCACGTGACACTATTGTCTCGACGATGGCGACATTACCACCATGGGAAGCGAAGTGCAGGGAATTTCCTCCAAACTTTCCTTTCGCGAAGGGATCAGCTCCATTGTGTAACAGATAATTTGCGGCGTCTCTTTTACCATTCAAGGCAGCCACGATCAAAGCCGTGTCACCACATTCATTTTTTGTGTTGATATCCAGGCCATGTGACAACATATCCTCGATAATGGCGATATTGCCACTACTTACTGCTAAAAACAGTGACTTTCGCTCGTAACCAGTTACCGTCTGAGTTTCACGTTCATCTGAAATAAAGTAGAGCTAGACGGAGATATCTTTCTATATTTTTTACTGATAAAAACGTTTACACTCGATACATAAAAACGATTTTCTGGTCTATCTGAAAATGACCCCTCTGTTTTTTTTCTTTATTTTGGCTTTTGAACTAGTCAAAAATCGCTTGGTGTGCTGATTTTAAGGATTTCTTAGGACAATTTTTGATCGTTTCTAGCATATTATAACCAATGAAGGACTGGTGGTTCACTCAGCTAACTTTTAAAACGATATTTTTTTATATCTCTTCTTTCTATGCAAAGAATTTCAAACACAGTTCCCTTCATTTTACTGAGAACAACTCTTTTTTGCCATTATCACTACATGAACAAAGGGTAACTTAAAAACAAAAAATAAGTGTGAGTAATTTTGACTTTTAGATACTGACCACCGATATCCACTCCAAATTCAGACGGTGCTCCTTCTGTTCCCATACCGCTGTCAGATGTTTCTGTCATTATACTTTTTGTCTCAAACTGTAGACTTTCCAAGTACGCCTGGGTGAAACTCCATTTGTGTTGGCCAAGACTCACTGACTTGATTCCGGGCCATTCGTAACCGACATTTTGAGCTGAAGGAACATGAAAGAACAAATTAGTTTTTAGACTCACGAGCCTCATTTTGATGTGTGAATGTATGTAAGTTCCAGTTTTGTCGCGATACTTTCTAGACACTGTCGTTTTAGAAATTAGCCTCTATAAACAGATTCTAGGCTGATGTTTCGAGTGTTAGCTTCGTAAAGAGTCGCTCTGACGAAGGGTTACGCTCGAAACAGGAGCTAAAAAAACTCTTTATGGTAGTTAATTTACATTATCAACTTAACTAATAAACCAAATTATCTTGTCACCTTTTCCTGTCAATGAAAACATTCCCAGTAAAACACACTGGAACAAAAAAAGGATTTGCCTGAGTAGGAAACGTTAAGCAAATGTAAGACAAATTTTAGTTTTGCCTAAATTTGCTCAGTAACAAAGACCATCTCTTCATTACATTTACTCCCCGAAGCAAAGCTGGTAAATACCACCTATGCATTAAATTTGCTTATACATGCTAAATGTTCCGCGAAGTTAAGTAATTGACTTTACCTTACACCCCTTTGCAAATATGTGGTAAAAATTCATGTTTTTGCTAATGTTTTTACGATGTGGAAAAATAAATGTAGAATCTGCAAAGTGCACAAGGTAATCGAATATGTTCAAACTTCAAACTTTAAACAAGTTTGCTGTGGTTCGCAAATGCTGCCAAATTATTGTCCTTGAACCCCTTTGCTAGGATAGTAAATATCTGTAAAATATCAACATTGAACTTGTTTGCTACGTTTATAGATACGTGCAAAGTATCAAAAATGAACAGGTTTACACAAGCGTGCAGCAGGCTCGCGCAGGTTTGAAAATACGACCAGCTGTTTGATATATCATTAAAGTTTGTTCCGGGCTGACTATGTGGTTAAAGCATCGATGTTTGTTCAAATCAAATTTACTCTGTAAAGCGAATCCATTTGAGTCCTCGATCTATAGCCATACTTCAGATATCGGCTATTCGATTATTGTATATCTACTGATCTTCGATATCATTTTCCGGAGTTGCTTTCACGTGAGAAAGTGGTGGAGCCATAGTGTCGAGGAGCAAACTCTATGGATTGTCGGCTCGTGTAGCTAGATCTGAATGAAATCAGTTCTTCTTAGCCGCTTCGAGTGGTCTTTGCAAACTCAGCATTCTCGTTACTACGAAGATCACTTTGATATTCACGAGTTGTGACTCAACACTAACTCGAACATTTGAACTCTAAAGCAGTATAAAGGCTTCTTGCATCTTCCTCGATTTGTTAGGCTTTGCCTGTTCGGTTTTATCCCCTGAAAGAAAGGCAATAGTTTTCTATCGAAAAGTCTCAACCGGCACTCGCATTTGAATACATCGTTGGAGAATTAAACGTATCCTTCAAGCGTGGATGGAAACCGGCGTCCGATTGTTTAAGTATAAGGAGAAGGTTAATGACTTAAGTATCCGCACAAAGAACACAATAAAGTATTCGTTTCCGCTGACCAGCAATATTGAGGCTCAAACGGTTTCTCGCACTCATTCTCTTTTAGGCGGAAAAGACATAGATACTGTAAAAAAGATCTGCGAGAGTGCAAGAGGATGCATATTTCTCTGCATATTTCTCAAACAGTTTGAAATTTATGAATTGCGCCCCAAAGATTTTAAGGTAAGCTATCGAACTAACTTTTCTTCTTTAAATCACTTTATTTATTTACTGATCAAGCGTGAATTTGAAGACACGGATTATTCAAACATGGATATTATTAAAAATCTGTGGTTTTCTTGGGTTACATTTTATTTCACTTGGACTTTCATTATTTGTTACCAAGATATATAAACATACTGAATTATTTGTTCATTATTTGTTACCAATATAAACATAGAAATAGATATGAGCCCAGTTGTTCAAAGGCCTCTTAGCGTTAGCCCGGGGCAGTAAATTTTGATCTAGGTTTCTATATTTCTCTGTTCAAAAGCCGTTTTGAGATAACTTTCCTAATTGTAGCTAATTGTTAATTGTAGACAAACAACTTTCTTTTAAAGCTCTCAGATCTGAAATTTAATTTCACACTAATCCCGGGTTATCTCAACCCACATTTGAAGAACTCGGGCATTAAAACTCTTACAAAATATTTTTGCTTGGTTAGCTCATGTTGTAGATCGCAAATCGAGGATTCGAGCCTCAGACCGGACCAACACTTCGAGTTCTAAATTGACTGACGAAAATGTGCTGCCTTTGCTTTGATATCATCAAATGCGGGTTAGATATTCTAGTCTTCTCGCATTTGGAAAAAAGAAACCTTACGGTAGGCCCTTTGTACTACATCTTCCAGTCTTCCCACTGGTTAGCAGATGACGTTAAAGACCCCACTCACTTATTGCAAAGAGTAGGGAACATAGCTCCCGGTGTTGTGGGTCTGGCCTTGATCCTTAAATCAGGAGCATCTGCAAAAATTTCCTACTTTTGAGAAAAAATCTTAGATTACCTTGAGTTTCGTCGATGAACTCAGTGCATGCCCTGTCGTATTCTTCCTTCTCAATCGTTACAATCAGCTCTACATTCTCTTCACCACCGGCGCGGGTCTTCATTTCATCATTAACCAAGAAATTGAACAGGCGGGTTTTGAGTGTGCCATCCTGGTACATGTTCCACAGGGTAGAGAGCCCCTTTATATTCTCTGCTCGAACTGTGAAGCACACGCATCCTTCACTGACGTCAATCAATTGTGTATTGGCGGGAAGCACACAATCTTGGAAGAAGTTGTAGAGTTGTTCATAAGTTGTACAGCGATTAAACAGCTCATGGAGAGAGAACAACACAATACCCGTTTTAGCCACTCTGCAAGCCGTCTTAATGTTCAGCACTAAATAAAGAAAAGAAAAATGAACTTGGTTAGTTGTTTGGCCGAGAGACCGAACAGAACAACGCAATTATACAAAATTCAGTATGGTCATTAAACTATAAAAAGGTCGTATTAGACGGATTTGGTATTCCAAATTGAAAGCAAACAAAGTGCGGCAAAAAGATTCCTTAAAATGGTCTGAGGCAACCGCCACATTGAACGCAGGAAATCCAGACTCTGTCATGGCGTTGGTATCCAGTCTTTCATATGTGTTTTGAGAAATTACTTTGTGTTTTGGAAAAGTGATTTGTGTTTTGGGAGATTTGTTTGTATTTTGAGAAAATGATTTATGTTTTGATAAATAGAATTGTGTTTGAAAACATTGTTTATGTCTTCAGAAATAATTTTTTAATTTAGTACATGGATTTGTAATTTTGTTTAATGTTCACGTGTTTGACAGTAAGCTCACCGAATCACGCCATGCATGTAGCGATTTTCGTAAACAACATCAATTTGTCAAGTTGATGCTTAAGAACAATTATGTAGATTCAAGTGGCGACCCATAAAACAAAAATTTGACCTGCCCTTCTTTTTTACGGCCAGAACCCATAGCTGACAGACATTGGATGGAGGAAAATGCTTTGTTGGTTTTCTGCATTTGAACATCATGTAATGAAACAAGAAATTAAGTTTAAGAAAAGGTCACCAAATGAAACGATTTCAGGGTACAGCTGATGAACTTCACAAGAGATTGTGACCGGTGAACTTAACTAGCTGGTGCACAATGACAGAAATACTAAATCAATACCGTCTCTAAGAGTTTTCTGCAACTGCACATAGCAAGACAAGCGAATAAATCTATCAAAAAGGTCACTGAATCATGATAAGGTTTCAGGAAATAGCTGATGCACTTATTGAGAGATTTCAGTATGCTTGTCAAATTCACAGTTAATTATATATGAGCTTCAGCAATCGAACTTCCCGGCTTCGCTTACATACAGTAAACAAGGAGATAATTGGATTAATGTAAGTGATATATGTAAAATCAAAAATCAAAATTTGTGTTGCCGAAACTCCTGAATCTATAGGAAAGGGAAGGAAGTATGACGGCCGAGAAAAATTGATATGAATTTGTATAATTTTATGCACACTCCTAATTTTCAATTGTAGACATTACTGTTAACATAAGAAAGATAAAATAATACTTGCAAATTGCGTACCTCCTCTCAGTCTTCCACCAACACCTTTGGCCAGGGAAACAACATGACCTGAAAGTGAAGGATAAATGTATTCATGAAGACGGTTTTTATTTTCCATAAAATACATTGATCATGATAGGAAAGACGCGGTACTTCAGTCGCTAGTGCAAATAATCTAAACCACTGAGTATTCGGAACAACCAGCCCTTCTCCTCCACCTTTCTAAGTGGCGCTTAAAGTAGGTCCTTACCTTTGTTTCGTTCAAAGGAGTCGTTATTATTTCTCCTCTCCTCGAAATCCTGAACCTCCCTCACCAGGTCCTCTTTCCCTATTTCCGTCAAAATCTCCTTTAAAAAAGTAAAGCGACGGAATCCAAGATGTCGGCGTTTTTCCAGCTCTTGGAACAGTGTTCGAACATCGAGAATGTCCACATCAAAATCTTCCGACGTCTTCCTTCTACAGATGTTGATGAGTTGTTCCAGATGATTGCGTTCGTCGCTATCGAGTGCTCGACTGATCAAAGCTAGTAAATCGTTATACTCTTTTCTTTTGCTCTGGAACTTTTTTAGTTTTCTCAACAGGGAAAACTCCTCTAAGCTCTCCAAGACTTCCTCCAAATCTCCCAGCTCGTCAATTGTCAAGTGTTTCTTTTCTTCCAGTTTCCTCAACAACGAACGAGCATCAGGAATGTTGGCAGCCTCGTCGTCTAATCCACACATGTCGAGTAACTGTTGATGATCATGCTGCTCGAGTTGTCGGCGTATCTCAGAAAGCATACTTTTGTATGCTATGTAAGACATAGCGATACAGTGCACTTCAAACTATAAGGCTTTTGTGGTGAAATTCACAGCGTATACCTAGTGTTCTAGAACTGACCACCTCGGGGGCTAGGTCCTCTTCCTATTCACAACAAAAGTGGAAACCTAAAAGCTGAGGCTTTATAGCTCTGTATAACAGAGGATTAGTAAGGCTTTTTCTCGCGCTTAAAAAATGTGATCTTTGAACTGTTTTCCTACGTTTCTGTTACGAAATAAAAACGGCGGTAAACAATTGATTTTTGTCAATTTATCATGCAAAAGTGACTTTGAATAGGGCATAATAATCCAAGAATTTATGCCCTCAGGGGTTGCTATTTCGAAAGTATAGGTATGGAAACTTGAATATTTTTTTTAAGTGTACTGTGGAAGTTGTGCAAAGGTCAGGACGTGGCTGAACTGCACAGTTTGCCGATTCGGCAAAGAATTAACCACGTTGCGAGAACGTGGCAGAGCAAAAGGGGTAGAGCAGAAAAAGTGCAAATACAAATGTGGCAAAAGAAGAAAAATGCCGTTGTCGGAAAGGCGTTGGGACCTGGTAAGGAGCAAAGTTCTCAGATGGCTTAGTTTAAGAGTGGAAGTTATATCAGTGGACTGGATTAAAAGATTGGTCGATGGAATTTGATTGAACAGGATAGGTTGGGCAAATGAAGAATCAGGATCACATAAATTAAGTAAGGTACTGATTTTAATGTAGCTTAATCGTTTCTCGAAACATCTGTTTGCTAAAAAAAAACTATCGCTCAGAAAATAAGTTTCCCGAATTTTTTTTAACAGATAAATATCAAGTACATATTAGAACAGTATCTGCCCACAGCTCCCCCCAAGTTATGCTGTTCTCTCTGCCCGTCCATATATTTTGAACAATTTTCTCTTCCTGTCATCAGTTACATAAAGCAGCAGAATTGCGAAGCCAATGTCCTTGAATTTTTAAGTTCACAATTTCAATTTTCCTTGGCATTGGTTAAGTTCCCTGGCATTCTTTTCTGCGGTGACCATCATCTTCATCAACTGCGCATGCACTGATAGATTGACTGTTCACTTAGAATTTGACTTCATTTTGCTCACGAAATGTCAAACCTCAAATTGGCGTCAAGATCAGTCCTAAAAAAAAATATATCGCGAGGATGTGTTCCAAGAAAGAAAATGTTTGCATCACTATCAGTCTAAAAGTGCCCATAAACCTCAATTTTTTAAATTAAATTAATTTTTTTTATAATTCTGGGCAAAATAGCGCAAAAAGTTTTGTTTTTGGTTGAAAGCCGAATTTTCTATGAATTTTTGAAGTGGTGGAAAATCGAGATTCGAAAACCCATGACCGAGCAGCGGAACCTGCCGAAAGGGAATGAATCGAGTGTAATTCGTGACGTAAAACCCGGACTGTGAGTTTCGCGTGTTGTGACTTCGATCAAAGCTTAAATCATGCCTGAGAGATGCGTCGTTTTCGGCTGTAATATATTTGGAAGCAAAGAGAAAGGGATAGTTTTTCATCCCACACCGTCTTACAGTAGAAGTGAGAGCGAAAAGCAAAAACGAAGGAAGGAGTGGGTCGATTTCGTCAAATCTGAACGTGCTCATTAATTGGGAACCCAGCGAGCATTCGGCGGTCTGCTCTGAGCACTTCACAGAGGAAGACTACACAAACCGATCCGCTGAAGATCCGGTTCGGAGGCTGAATAGAGATGAAATCAGCGTTTGTATTTTTCCGACTAGGCACGCTCGCTCTGTTTTGAGCAAAAACGCTGTAGATAAACCTGAAAGTGAGCGAAGCAAACGGAAGGTGAGATATTTCTAAGTATCAGTCAGTCTACCTGTCAAAACATTTAAATAAAGAAATGTCCATGGAAATAACATTTAAGGCATGACAATGTAGACCTAAGAATGGATGTACCTGACATGCATTATAACCAATGTGCACTTATTGATAAGCTTAGCAACAACGGGAGTGAGGTTATCGCGGCCGGCAACTTACCAGTCTCAGACTTTTTCTGTACCATTTAGGCGCTTTTGGAGCGCCTTCTCTAGGACCTCTTCCTCCTTTCTGTCTCGTTCATATAACTCTATCCATTCCTCGTCCGCTAGCAGATCCTCGCCATATGCCTCGTGCGTGCCTTCCTCATCGCTGGCCGTAGAACTCGAGTTTGGTGAACCATCAACTTCCAAGTCGTAATCTTTCATTTCTGAGACTTTAGAATCTGAACGAGAGGTCGGAATGAATGTCAACCGAATAAAAATGGTTTTCAACGGTGCACAAAGAAAACTACTCTGTTGTCCAGGTCTTACGTCACTAGTCCCAGTCTCCTTTCACCCGGTCGTGGGAAGAAAAAACCACACTTAAAAAATTTATAAAAAATTTCAGATTTGATCAAAAACAAAAATTTTTGCGCCATTTTGCTCAGAATTATAAAAATATTTTTTAAGCAAAAAAATTTTTGGCTTCATGGGCACTTTAATAGCAGTGAGGGGAAAGCGTCTCTAATATTAAGCTTTCTTGTCTTCCACCATAGACTGCTCCCTAAGCCCTTTCCACCTTCCCCTCCCCTTCCCTCTGCCCGTTCCTGGCCCTACATCCCCACCTTGCACCTTGGCGCTTATAGTCGGTATGTGTTGAGCGCATGCATGAGGAAAGACAAACTTAGTCAGGTACGCGAACTTGAAGTCGAGGCTCGCTGAAAGGATTTCTGACAAAGAAAGATACGGCGAACTGACGTAGAAAAAATCGAGCTTTGACTCCCAGTTTATCTTACAAAACACCATTACAGCATTGATATGATCATTTCCTTAATGGGAACACGAAAGTTGAAAGAAATTTCAAACAGATAGAGGTTACTTTCCTTTTTCGAAACTTATCTCTCCTGGGAGTTTAGGGACTGTGCAATAATTATCGGGGGGGAGTAAAACGAGATGGGGGCATAATGTAAACTCACAGTCTTAAGGAGAGGGGTAACATGTAAATTCCTGGGAAAGTGGGGGGGGGGGGCAACTGAAAAACTGACTACCAAAGATATTTCAATAAAAGTTATAGCCATTACTTTCTGGACTGATTTGATATGAATAAAACAGGGCTTATATGACATCAATAATGAAATAGAACATATAGTCATTGTCAAGTGAAATTAACTTGACAAGATTATAAAAATGACACATGTTTATGTTGGTGTTTAAGAGGTTGATGATAAAAACTCTTTAACTAACTCTTCTGCTTCTCCAATGAAGTATTTAGAATTTAACAGGTCTCCTAAACAAGCTTTATCAGTGCGAGACGTAAACAAACCAAGAACATCTAGATCAACATTATCGATCTGAGACAACTCCATACTTCTCTGGCTCATGTTCCCCATCAACTGGTGCCCCGCCCAGTGAAAGAAAAATAACAGAAGCTCTACTCTACAATGATGATAAAAACAACAGCAAAGAGTGCTCCGGAGAGAGAACAAGAGATCTTAAATCTGGTGAGGGAGTATCGAGCATTCATAGCGAAATTTCTAATTTGCCAGCATAGCCTTTTCCCCGATCCCGTTCAGTGGTGTTGTGAATCATTATGTATGCTCATAGTGCGAAGTAGATGGCAGAGTAAAATAGCGCGTTACAAAATATTGCAGGAGAAGGCAGAGGCACTTCATCTTCCCGCCACAAATTTAACGCTTTCGGCACTAAGTTCTGCATGCAGTGTTTAAACCGGAAAACGCGTGATTATACCCTATTGCGAGCCTCACTCAAAGAAAACAAACACATTACCTTTACAAGGGTGAGAACCCAGGTCTCTGGATTTTTATTCCAGTATTTCTATTCATTGAAGCTCTTTGTAACCAGTGACTGACATGTTTGTCATTTCCTTTCACTTACAACCTTAGATCAGGAAAGCTGACTTCAACAATGACCAATTTGTCAAGGATTTTGGAATCTCGATAGAAGACAAGATGGTGGAACTTCAAGGGCGGGTGCTGCAAGCACCTAAGCTGCAGTATGGCGGAAAGGTAACTGAAGTAACGGTAATTTTCCCTTTTTTTAAAGTTAGATCCGTTTTGAAGATGTTGAAATGCTTTTTAAAAAGCTTTCGAACTCGGATAACGGTTTGATGGGAATGAAATTAATCAAAGGGGTAAGAATAAACAGGATGGAAAATAATGGAGAAGAATAAAAAGGGACGAGGGTAAAGTCTTAATCCGAGCCAAGAGGCCCATTCATTCGGAACTTATTCCAGTTTCTATAACATGAAGGCTCATGAAGTGGCTAAGAGAACTACTACTACTTACCAGGCTTCCCTTACAATCCGCCGGTATCCATTTCTACTCCTGGGCCCAGGTTTTCAAAGAGCGGTTAACACTATCTAACGAATACACCACTATCTAGTGGATACGTGTTAACAAAACGTACCGCACGACCCACTTGGAAGGGCACGAAATTAACTTTTTTTTCCAAGGGGCTTGCACTTATTGCAAAAAGTTATACATCGGCGAAACAGGAAGACGACTGGGTGACCGATTCCGAGAACACCTTCGCGACGTAGAGAGGAATGACGAGGACGCATCAAAACCAGTTGCTAGACACTTTAATTACAATACAACCCACAACTCCTCAATTCGCCCTGACGAAGGGCTAACGCTGGAAACGTCAGCTTTTTTATTCGTTACGGTGGCCAATTTAAAGTTTCAACTGAGTTGATATAACTAAATTACCTTGTTACCCCCACCGACGCAGCACCACAGTTTCTTTAGAAACTTTTAGCCTTCATTCATCTACTTCAAGGCTTTATTTAGTTGCAAAATACTTCAAGGTAAGATTTATCAAATCCAAAGAGTTCTGGTCGCCAACTTGGCGACTAATTTTGGAATCTTGATCGCCAGCACGGTAATCTTAGTCGCATTAGCGACTGTACTCGGTGCAATTTCGTGCATGCCTTGCTTGATAGAGATTTATCTAGTGGGTAGCGTTATTCACCCCTCTAACAAGCGTGGGCTGGTAAAGGCACTCGAACCCAGACCTCTCGACCCGAAGTCCAATGCACTAATCATTTGGCCAGAGCGTCTCCCACAGGGAGAAGAAACTTCAAAATTTTAAATAACATTTTTTTCCATGGAGATAGAGGTCTGAAATTTGGCAATATTCATTATTGCACGGTATTTTTCATGTATCCCTTACAGAGCTTTCGTTAAATGAACTTATTGCGTATCACTCTTTTTGGTATTTATCGAATTTAATATTAATTTCTTCTTAGGACAAACTGAAAATTTCCCCAAAACAAGGTACAGTGAACAATTTTGTGAAAAATCACTTAATGGTGGTAATAATGAAGAATCAATTTAAAGGCTATACCCAGGTGAAGTCGGATATTTTCTGAAGAGTTTTTTAGTTCATTCTTCAGCCGGCTGGTGCGTCCGTTTGCCTTTTTAATCACAAAACAGGATTGTCTAACCCTCGTGTTGTTGGAATTGAATGCTCATGAANATAGAAACTTGCTTATGTAAACACGGCACTCGTTCTTTGGTTAATAAAATTATTCTTGAAGTACGGGAAGTTGTTTGAAGTGCAAGAGATGAAAGAGATTTGTCGTGTTGTTTTATCTTGTCAGGTTGAGCCCATGTTTAAACATTTGAAATCCACCTTTGCCAATCTTCAGCTCATTATTCTTGTGTTGCCCGGAAAAACACCAGTATATGGTGAGTTTTGAAAACACGGAAGGAGAAACGAAAAATGTTCAGCGTTGAATTTGTGATCACAGTGCGATTTGTATGACTGACTGAAGAAATGATTGATTGACTGACTGACAGTCTGTAAGACTTATTGACTGACTGACTTACTCTCTAACTGGCTGGCTGATCGACTGACTAGATGGCTGACTGACTGACTGGCTGTCTGACTGACTGGCTGGCTGATCGACTGACTAAATGGCTGACTGACTGGCTGTCTGACTGACTGGCTGGCTGTCTGAGTGGCTGACTGGCTGGGTGATCGACTGACTAAATGGGTGACTGGCTGGCTGGCTGGCTGGCTGGCTGTCTGACTGACCGACTGACTGGCTGGCTGGCTGTCTGACTGACCGACTGGCTGGCTGATGGAACGACTCACTGACTAACTGATAGACCCATGGATTCTTCGTAGAATGTAGATTCTCAGTGTTTTATTATCCACGTTTCTCTTGTAGCTGAAGTCAAACGAGTTGGAGATACAATGCTAGGAATCGCCACACAGAGTGTTCAATCTAAGAATGTCACCAGGTTTCAAGCTCAAACATTGTCCAATCTGTGTTTAAAAATAAATGCCAAGCTTGGAGGAATAAACAATATTTTGGCCCCAGATATTCGGTGAGATGAATGCACTTAGTATTACTCACAGGGGCATCGAAGGGGGGAGGGATGGGGATGTGTTTGGCTTGGAACGGGTGGGAGAAGTTTGGTTTGTTAAGAGGAATCTGCGAGGAAATGCTTTTTGTACATTTGCCATTTTTTACTTGTTCATGTATGGAATGTTTCTTTTCTTTTGTCGTGTCATGATTAAATTTACCAGATCCCCCAGAGGGCTTTGTAATATTGTCACGATTCCTCCCTCATTGGCTGTCAATTTTTTGTAGTCCCTGTTTTAATCTTTGTGGGCGACGACTGACCTCACCACCCCGTTCTCTTTGAAAACCATGTGATCCCTCTCAAAATCCCCCTCCCCTTCCCTCCCCCCCCATGTTAAATAATGACTGGTCCGTAAATATTTGAATCTATGTTTACAGACTTCCTGTATTTCGCGAACCTGTGATATTTCTTGGAGCTGATGTAACTCACCCAGCAGCTGGGGATGAAAAACGACCTTCAATTGCTGCAGTAAGTTGTTATCCTTTTTGGTATCCTTCTTGCGTGAATACATTATGGCGGAAGGTTGTGTTCTCGTGACTACAGCTTTCTTGGCGATATTCTTGGCCTCTTTGGGCAATTTGCCTCCGCACAATGGCCTCTTCGACCATTATTACCATCGTGCACAATCAGGAAAGATCGTTTCTTGGCCACGAGTATTTTTCAGTGCAAATGTAGACGTTGGTGCTACCGCTGTCGTTACACGTGGTAACTTTCGAAAATTTAGGAGCCTCCAGCGTTCAAAGTTCCTCTCGAGGCGTTTTAAATACTATTCAAATGCCTCCTGTGCTTTTAACCCAGCTGTTTTCAAGATCCTACACAGTGGTGATGTTGAAATAAATCGCGGTTACGTACCTACATGCACGACACG